CTTGGGCGTGCGCTGGCCGAGGGCGGGGCTGGAGCGCGCCCGCCGGGGAGGCGCGTGGGGCGCCTGCTGCAGGGAGGAGCTGACCAGCGGGAGGTCGCCCCGAGTGCTTCGTGCCCTCTACGCCCGTCGCAGCGTGGACAAGGCGAGTCCGCGCCCAGCCGCGAGAACGTCCACTCCACCCACAATGGCCTCGGGCGCGGGGAACCCGAGCTGTACCCCTCTGGGAAAATACAACGCCACGAGCATAACCCTGCGCCCCGCACCTAGTGAGCGCCCAAGAGGGCGGGAAAGCTGCTGCCGCCACCGCGGCCTTCCGAGGAGAGGCTCATTTGGGGATGCCAGGACCTCAACGCCGAGTCACAGTTGCTACATAATTAAGGAGAGTTGCGGGGGCGGGGAGTCTCCTGCAGTGGTGTGCTGAGAGTTCAATAAAGTTGCAGGATGCTGGATTGAGCTGCTGTTGCAGAGTGAATGCAAAAGACATTGGAGCTCCTGTCTCCTGCTCATCAGTTTGTAGAGATCGCTGACTGCGAGTGGCTTGAACGCTGATGTGGTTCAGGCTGTTGAGGCACCGGGTGTTGCTATAACCGCACAGAGCCCCCTTGAGAGGTTTAATGTAGATCACCTACGCGAACTAGGGGTCTGGTGCTTGCTCCCAGCCCCACTGCCTAACTCCATATCCAACAGCATTCACTCTTACTACAACAGGGTCTGGTAGGAGAATCTAATGGGCCACTTTTAAAAGAACTTTAAGCTCCCAATTGAACTATGACCCTTAACACTTGAAGCACAAAACAAGTGGAAAATGGAGCCGTGGTGGAGGTTGACCAAAAGAACCAAGTGCAAAATGCTGTGTGTCCCTCGACTCACTTTAATAGGAAAAGCCTGACTTTGAACTTTGCCTGGTCAGAGGAATGTTCTGAACTCTGTATAGATCCCAAACAACAAGGTCAGTTTCCTTTGGGTCACTCTGCCCAACTCAGCTCCCTTTCCTCACCCCACCCCCAAATCTCCCCAAACATGAGAGGTGAAAACCTTTGGTAAGTAACTGATCTCTTAGGCAACCCTGCAGGATCCTGTCCCCAACGACATTCAATTGTAAATATATCATCCTACTTAGCCCAAAACAGTGCTTAACACGTCTTTGTTCTGGGTCCTTATTGTTATTATGATGTTAATGCTATCAGTATTATAATGATCCAAATGACTGTTTGGAGAGGCAGACTACCTGGCTCAAACTTGTTTATGTGAACCCCATGGCCTTGGATAAGTTACCTAAGCCCTCTGGGTCTCTGTTTCCTCATCGGTAAACAGCTCATCATCAAATGATGGCATTTGCCTATTTGGCTATTCTAAGCATTACATGAGCAAATAAATGAAAACACTTAAAGTGATATCTGGCAGCTGGGAAGTAAGTACTTAAGAAATCTTCAAGCCAGGCATGATCCCAGCACTTGGAGGCAGAGACAGGCGGATCTCTGTGAGTTCCAGGCGAGCCTAGGCTACATTGCAAGTTCCAATACAGCTGGGGCTACAAGGAGACCCTGTCTCAAAAAGATAAAAAAAAAAAAAAAACAGAAGAAGAAATCTTCAATAAAGTAGAGGCCAGGCCAAGGCTCACATCCAGCTCTGTCTCTAGTGCACCTATTTCAAGTCTGTAGTGTTGGCCTACTATTGGGCCTACTATGTGCTTTTGGCATTTTATTTGCATTATATCTAATTGAAGGCAGTAGTTGCTTTCTGTCATGTCTGACCTCTCCCACTCAGCCTCCAAACCCCTTGGAGTTAAGGGTCCCAGTTTTTGCTGAAACATTTAGTTCCACTTCCTGCCACACATCTCCCAGACACCCAAACTTTAGCAGTGGCTGCCAAAGTGTAGCTCTCTAGCAGCCTCCTTTTTCCCTGGGCTTCTACTGACTCAGTCTTAAAAACTTAGCCCTCCTCTCATGAGACCTCAAAACATCCAAAAAAACTTTTTGGCAGGGTCTCTGGGGAAGCTTTCCCTGAGGGGGTTACAGGTGAGTACTGTCACCCCTCGCCCCCACACACACAGTTTTATAAGGTACTAGGGAGGAATCCAAGGCTTCCTGCATGCTAGGCAAGTACAACAGCAACTGTCAACTACATACATCCCTAGCCCCATTTTGCTTGTTAATCTGTTTGTTTGTTTGTTTGTTTGTTTGTTTGTTTGTTTGTTTGTTTTGAGACAGGGTCTCACTATGTAACCCTAGCTGGCCTGGAACTCACAGAGATTCAGTCTCTGAGTGCTGGAATTAAAGACGTGCCACTGTGCCAGCTTTTTTGGCATTTTTAGTAAGAGTTGGGATCAGGTTGGTGAATGGAGCAGGCTATTGGGGAGGGAGAAATGGCGAGGTCAGACTTAGACTACACTGTATTCTGTTCTTAGGTTTCAACAGCTTTCTAACTTTCCCCTCCAAAACATCAAGCATGTGTAGGCAGACACCTAGGCTTCTTGGTAGTGAGTTCAGGGTTGGAGAGGGGGGCAGCGTGTACAGGACACATTGTAATTCCTCAGGCATTAGTTACCTCTTTTTTTCAGACAGGGTCTCCCTGGCTTGGGAGCTCTCCAGGTAGGCTAGGCTTAGAATCCACCTGTTTCCAACCCCTCAACGCTGGGATTAGATGGGCATACGTGTCCTGGGGATCCAACTCAAGTCCTGCTTACAAGGCAAGCACTTTGTTTGCTGAGCCCTTTATTATCTTTTTTTCTAAATTCTTTTTTTTTTAATCAGTACAGAGGATTAAACCCAGGTCATTGTACAATGTTATTGTTTGTAATAGCCCCTAAAAGGAGGAACTCCAAAGAATGAATCTGTTAGAGGAATTTCAACCTCTGTGTTCTAGAGTAGGCATGGCTCAGAGTGGGCACCCTCTCTAAATTTGGCAACCTCTGGTTGGTTATTGATCTGTGAGCCAACACGTTTCCCCAGGGCTCTCAACTCTCTGGCTGTTCTGAAGATTGACATAGATGTCTATGTCTGCCACTTAGTAATGCTGCTCTTGTGGGCTTGCATCCCAGCCCTGGCTCTCCTCTCCCCCAGAGTCCTGCCCAGCTGATCCTCAAACTTTATTGCCTATTGGAAGCCACTGGGGGAATTTTAAGCCACCCAAGCCTGGACTCTCAGACTAGCAATCTGATTTAATTGATCTGGGCTGTGGCCTGGGCATCAGGCCTTTTTAAAGCTTCCCATGTGATTCTTATATGTAGCATAGTTGAGAACCCTGATCTGGGGGACTTTAAAGAAGGCTTCTGTGCCTATGTCCTTCTAAATAAAGCCAGTAGAACCTCTGGAACTGGGCTCCAGAATTTTGTTTAACTTATTATATACTTTGTTCCATCTTCTTTATATAAAGATATATGGGGGGGGCATCATCGTTTCACAACAATAGGGTTTTATTAATCACACTTTCCTGGATCTTACTATTAACATTCAATTTCTGCAGAATTCCCTCTAGGTCAACTGAT